TGTGTGAGTGCTGTGTGTGAGGGCTGTGTGTGAGTGGCTGTGTGTGGAGGTGCTGTGTGTGAGTGGCTGTGTGTGTGAGTGGCTGTGTGTGGAGGTGCTGTGTGTGAGTGGCTGTGTGTGTGAGTGGCTGTGTGTGTGAGTGGCTGTGTGTGGAGGTGCTGTGTGTGAGTGGCTGTGTGTGAGAGTGGCTGTGTGTGTGTGAGTGGCTGTGTGTGTGAGGTGCTGTGTGTGAGTGGCTGTGTGTGGAGGTGCTGTGTGTGAGTGGCTGTGTGTGTGTGAGTGGCTGTGTGTGGAGGTGCTGTGTGTGTGAGTGGCTGTGTGTGGAGGTGCTGTGTGTGTGAGGTGCTGTGTGTGTGAGGTGCTGTGTGTGTGAGTGGCTGTGTGTGGAGGTGCTGTGTGTGAGAGTGGCTGTGTGTGTGTGAGTGGCTGTGTGTGGAGGTGCTGTGTGTGAGTGGCTGTGTGTGTGTGAGTGGCTGTGTGTGTGAGTGGCTGTGTGTGGAGGTGCTGTGTGTGAGAGTGGCTGTGTGTGTGTGAGTGGCTGTGTGTGGAGGTGCTGTGTGTGAGTGGCTGTGTGTGTGTGAGTGGCTGTGTGTGTGAGGTGCTGTGTGTGTGAGTGGCTGTGTGTGGAGGTGCTGTGTGAGTGGCTGTGTGTGGAGGTGCTGTGTGTGTGAGGTACTGTGTGTGGAGGTGCTGTGTGTGAGTGGCTGTGTGTGGAGGTGCTGTGTGTGTGAGGTGCTGTGTGTGTGAGTGGCTGTGTGTGTGTGAGGTGCTGTGTGTGAGTGGCTGTGTGTGTGTGAGTGGCTGTGTGTGGAGGTGCTGTGTGTGAGTGGCTGTGTGTGAGTGGCTGTGTGTGTGTGAGTGGCTGTGTGTGTGAGGTGCTGTGTGTGAGTGGCTGTGTGTGGAGGTGCTGTGTGTGAGTGGCTGTGTGTGTGTGAGTGGCTGTGTGTGTGAGTGGCTGTGTGTGGAGGTGCTGTGTGTGAGTGGCTGTGTGTGGAGGTGCTGTGTGTGTGAGTGGCTGTGTGTGGAGGTGCTGTGTGTGTCTGTGGTGCTGTGTGTGGAGGTGCTGTGTGTGGAGGTGCTGTGTGTGTGAAGTGCTGTGTGTGTGAGTGGCTGTGTGTGTGAGTGGCTGTGTGTGAGTGGCTGTTTGTGGAGGTGCTGTGTGTGTGAAGTGCTGTGTGTGTGAGTGGCTGTGTGTGTGAGTGGCTGTGTGTGAGTGGCTGTGTGTGGAGGTGTGGTGTGAGTGGCTGTGTGTGTGGTGGTGTGTGTGAGTGGCTGTGTGTGGAGGTGCTGTGTGTGAGTGGCTGTGTGTGTGAGTGGCTGTGTGTGAGTGGCTGTGTGTGGAGGTGCTGTGTGTGAGTGGCTGTGTGTGTGAGTGGCTGTGTGTGGAGGTGCTGTGTGTGAGTGGCTGTGTGTGAGGTGCTGTGTGTGAGTGGCTGTGTGTGGAGGTGCTGTGTGTGAGTGGCTGTGTGTGTGAGTGGCTGTGTGTGTGAGTGGCTGTGTGTGTGAGTGGCTGTGTGTGGAGGTGCTGTGTGTGTGAGGTGCTGTGTGTGCGTGAGGTGCTGTGTGTGTGTGTGTGTGAGGTGCTGGGTCTGTGTGTGAGAGTGGCTGTGTGTATTTGTGTGAGATGCTGTGTGTGTGAGGTGCTGTGTGTACACTGTGTGTGAGGTGCTGTGTGTACACTGTGTGTGAGGTGCTGTGTGTGTGTGTGAGGTGCTGTGTGTACACTGTGTGTGAGGTGCTGTGTGTGTGTGAGGTGCTGTGTGTGTGTGAGGTGCTGTGTGTGTGTGTGTGTGAGGTGCTGTGTGTGTGTGTGAGGTGCTGTGTGTGTGTGAGGTGCTGTGTGTGTGTGTGTGAGGTGCTGTGTGTGTGTGTGTGTGCGTGAGGTGCTGTGTGTGTGTGTGTGTGTGTGTGAGAGGTGCTGTGTGTGTGTGTGAGTGCTGTGTGTGTGAGGTGCTGTGTGTGTGTGTGTGAGTGCTGTGTGGGTGTGAGTGCTGTGTGTGTGGTGTGAGGTGCTGGTGTTGTGTGAGTGTTGTGTGGTGTGCGAGGTGTTGTGTGTGTGTGATTGTGTGTGAGGTGCTGTGTGTGTGTGTGTGTGAGGTGCTGTGTGTGTGTGTGTGTGAGGTGCTTTGTGTGTGTGTGTGAGGTGCTGTGTGTGTGTGTGAGGTGCTGTGTGTGTGTGTGTGAGGTCCTGTGTGTGTGTGTGAGGGTGACTGCTGTGTGTGTGTGTGTGTGTGAGGGTGACTGCTGTGTGTGTGTGTGTGTGAGGGTGACTGCTGTGTGTGTGTGTGAGGTGCTGTGTGTGTGTGAGGTGCTGTGTGTGTGTGTGTGTGAGGTGCTGTGTGTGTGTGTGTGTGAGGTGCTGTGTGTGTGTGTGAGGTGCGGTGTGTGTGAGGTGCTGTGTGTGTGTGTGTGTGTGTGTGTGAGGTGCTGTGTGTGTGTGAGGGTGAGTGCTGTGTGTGTGTGTGTGTGTGTGTGTGAGGTGCTGTGTGTGTGTGAGGTGCTGTGTGTGTGTGTGAGGTGCTGTGTGTGTGTGTGAGGTGCTGGTGTGTGTGTGTGTGTGAGGTGCTGTGTGTGTGTGAGGTGCTGTGTGTGTGTGTGTGTGAGGTGCTGTGTGTGTGTGAGGTGCTGTGTGTGTGTGTGTGAGGTGCTGTGTGTGTGTGTGTGAGGTGCTGTGTGTGTGTGTGTGTGAGGTGCTGTGTGTGTGTGTGTGTGTGCGCGAGGTGCTGTGTGTGTGTGTGTGTGGTGCTGTGTGTGTGAGGCGCTATGTGTGTGTGTGAGGTGCTGTGTGTGTGTGTGTGTGTGAGGTGCTGTGTGTGTGTGTGAGGTGCTGTGTGTGTGTGTGTGTGTGAGGTGCTGTGTGTGTGTGTGAGGTGCTGTGTGAGATGCTGTGTGTGTGTGTGTGTGAGGTGCTGTGTGTGTGTGTGTGTGTGTGAGGTGCTGTGTGTGTGTGTGTGTGTGTGTGTGAGGTGCTGTGTGTGTGTGTGTGTGTGTGTGTGTGTGTGTGAGGTGCTGTGTGTGTGTGTGTGTGTGTGTGAGGTGCTGTGTGTGTGTGTGTGTGTGAGGTGCTGTGCGCTGGAGGCAGTGACAGGTGGAGGTATCTGCAGTGTGTCGGTCGGTCGGGCTGAGTTACAGCAGTCAGTAATGAGCAGGTTTCTCCGACGTGAAATACCGTTCGCATTGGAAATCAGGAGTGGAGTCCTACAGCTCAGTGGTTAGAGCTCTCGCCTCACACGCGAGAGACCGGGGTTCGATTGCCGGGCAGGTCAAACATCGGGGAAGCTTCCCTACTCCACACGCCTCTGTTTACCTTAGCAATAAGTAGGAACCCAGTTGTTAGTCAATTGACGGATCGCTTTCCCGGGCTGATAATCCCCGAAAGAAAGATAATAATAATAATTTGGTCACTCACTCCACGACTGATGGTGTGGGACGCTGCTGTGCGCAATTGGCTGCCGTGTTTCGCCCACAAAATACACAGTCAATTCACTTTACAGTTTATTCTGCGATGCAATTTGAGACGTCTCGAAGATGTGATAAGGTGCTATGCTCTTCTTCTTATTAAACCAGATTACACCAGGTCTAGGTAAACAACAACAATTCACACTTTTTCGCCCTCCACGCATCTCAGAGCACTCAGCTTTGACGGAACATCCCCTTGGGAGCAGTTTGCTCACTCGCTGGCGTTTATCTAGTAATAATAATAATAATAGTCCTTGCACGTCTTTGATACATCTCAAAGCACTTCACAGAATATACTATGTGTTTTGTGGGTGAAACACGGCCGCCGATTGCGCACAGCAGTGTCCCACACACAGTCATGGGTTGAGTGATCACATATTCAGCCCCTCACTCTGCGCTCTGGCTTTCAACAAAGTTTATATCAAGGATTTAACATAAAGAAACACCAATCCTAGCCTGCTGTACAATTTCCCACGCCGCAGATTGCGAGTAAATTCTCCCATTGATTCCTGATTTCGAATCCACTAGAATTCCCTTTTTTGTATTAAAAAAAAACAAGGAAAATAAAAAAATTCCTCATAACGTCAGTTTGTAAGAATAACCCTTGCATTTGATACAGCGCCTTATCACATCTTCGAGACGCCTCAAAGTGCTTCACAGAATGTGCTATAAAGTGAAGTGACTGTGTATTTTGTGGGCGAAACGCAGCAGCCAGCAGTGTCCCACAAACAGTCGCGGATCGACCAAATTATTATTTATTTTCATTTTTGTGGAAGGATTATTACCCACGGAAAGCGATCCGCCGATCGACTAACAACCAGGACAGCTTTCTACTTACTGCCGGATAAACAGAGGCGGTTGTGTGGAGTAAGAAAACTTGCGTAAGGGTTAGACCAGACCCGTCCGGGAATTGAACCCGGGTCCTCTCGCTTGCAAGGCGGGCGCTCTAACCACAGGACAATTTGGCTTCAAAGTTCCAGGTTAGCACGAGTCCTATTCCCGGGGATCTGCCATTCCATGTTTTGTCAATCCTGATAGCTTCGCTCCCCAGAGGCAGGTACAGCTGTACACTGATTTGCCAACATGCAAACTGGCTCAGTGTGCACACAGCCACAACCGGGCAGGCGGTGAGCAGAATCTCATCAGCTTTTATCTTCTCTCTTATTGTGTTCGCATCTCTGAGACAGACAGAGATTGTGTGCGTGTGTGTGACTAACGTAGAGGTGAACGAGGTGAGGATGGGAGGAAATTAAGAGAGAGAGAATGAGAGAGGGAGTGAGAGATTTGCAGAGGACCACTCTCCTTGGGAGCCAATCTATTGTTGAGTGTTCGATTAATTTGTATTATCATTGTTAATAATAATCATAATAAATGGTTTGAAACAGAAGAGAAGCTGAGAACGCTGCTGGAGAAGAGGCTGAGAGCGAGGGAGCGAGAGAGAGAGAGACATTGCTACAGGGAGTGTTTCTGGTCCTTTGTGCATGTATGAGTAGACAGAAGCCTTGAGGAACCGCACAGCGCAACACCGAAGAGACTGGGAGATGCTCTATTGTCTTCGTCAAGAAGAGATGTCTCTACACGATCTCACCCAAAGGCTGATCACCGTCATCACTCATGTCGGTAAGAGAGAAAGACAGAAATAATATCTTTTTTTTCCCCTTCCCCTCTCATTCCTCCCTCCCTCCCTCCCTCCCTCCCTCTTCAGCTCCCTATTTTTTTCCATCCCAAGATCCCAAGGAACCCCCAAAAATATTCAGGTCCCAGCATTAGAGGGTTCTATCCGCCACGACCCTCTCTACGACTGAACCCCCCCCACCACCGTGTGCCGATCCCATGGGACTATCCATCCTGGCATTAGCCGTTCTACCTCCACTTCCCTCCTCCTCCCCTCTTCTCTGGAACTCCATCCCGGAACTCCGGTCCCCACCCAACCCGAGTTTCAAGCTCACCTCGAGGCTTACATCTGTGACCGTGCTTTCGGTTATCTTTCCCCCACTACACCCCCACCCCTCCTCTTTATCTCCCCTTCCCTTCCCTCCCCTCCGCCCCATCCTCCTCCCCACCCCCCGCCTCACACCCGCTCAGCTGCGTGAATCGCTTTGAGACGCCCTTTTTCATTGCCTCTTGAGATGTGAAAAGGGCCAATAAATTATAATTGTGTTGAATCATGAATAACGAGAGCACAAGTGTGGCTTTATGTACGTGTACATGTGTATAAAGTATCCTCCTACAGAATTCAAACTGCTTTGGGTTGAAATAATAATAATTATAAGAATAACGTTAAATTATAGTATATCCCGACTTGAAAGGTGAGATATCAAATACCAGGATTATTTGTAAATGTCTGACGGGCTGGATTGAGGAGTGTGTGCTGTTGGCATGATTGTACGTGGTGTGTTGGGCGTGGCTGTGTATGTCAGCGTACATACGTGTTGTGTGTGTGTGTGTGAAGAGTGTGGGGATCTATCCGTGTGTATGTGTGTGTGGGTGGAGAGGATTATTACGGGCGTGAATGATGGGTGAGAGGGGAGTGCCAATAAATGGAACTGAAAGAATTACTCACTCAGTGCGACACGGGCCCTGATGGGCTGAATAGCTTTTGTTTGGGCTGTAGAGTTCCGTGGATTCACAGAGGAAATTCTCAGTCTGATCTTCTTTATAATCATCCTTACATTTGCCTGTGGGGGGGGGATATCTCAAAGGATTTTAATAATAATCCTTGCATTTGATACAGCGCCTCGTCACGTCGTTGAGACGTCTCAAAGCGCTTCGCAGGATACATTGTAAAGTGGAGTGACCGAGTATTTTTGGGGGCGAAACTCGACAGCCTGTTCCGCACACCTTCACCTCGCAAACAGCCCTGGACTGAGCGACTGATTTTATTTGGGGAATTGTTGGCCAGGACAGCTGAAGACCTTTCTTTTCGACTGCGCCTTTGGTCACCTTCCACCCCCACCCCCTCCCCCCGGCTCGGTCCCGGGATCCGAAACTGTAAAGCGCTCTGAGACGTCGTCCGGCGTGGAGGGCGCTATATAAATCCAAGTTGTTGTTGTTGATAGCGAGAGAGAGAGAGAGAGAGAGAGAGAGACTTTCTGGCTTGAGAGCGCCAGCGAACGGTGCCAGGCTGACACCCGTCTTAATTTGGAAGCCAGTTCTTGTTCGTTACGAACCGCGGGAAAGCCCTCGGCTTTACTAATCCACGGCTATGTTGAGGAATCCTTCGGAAATCACAGGCGGCTTCGGTGTTAAGGCAGTGAGGCGTTCCCCAGGCGATGAGCGCGTAGAAATTCAGGGTCTCAACAACAACGACAACAACATTTACACCGTACTTTTCATATCGGGAGGACGTCCTGAGGCCCTGGACAGTCAGGGATGCGCACGCGAGATGGGGGTTGGGATCAGGAGAGATGGAGGACAGGGAGAGTAGGGGTGGGAGGGTGGCCGATGGCGCGATCAAAGAGGAGGGTCTTGAGACGGGAGGGAGGGAAGGAGGGGGTGGGGGGGAGCAAGGCGGAGGGACTGTGGGATAGAATTCCAAAGGGTGGAGGCAGAGAGGCTGAAGGCTCGATTGCCGATGATGGGGCGGGCCGGGCGGGCGACGTGGAGCGGGCCGGAGCCACTGAGCGGAGGGACAGTAAGGACAGTAAGGAGTTAGCAGGTCACAGAGGTAGGGAGGAGCAAGACCATCTCAGAATCGATTAACCCTTGACCTGGTTAGCAGTTGTCTGTCGGGAACAAAGCAGAGGATATAAAATCCCCAGGAGAACAATTGGGAGGCGAATGCGGGTGATCTCAGACGCCGAGAGGTTTATAACCAGTCTCCGAGATTAGATCACGATCACGACATCGCTCACGATTATTTACACTATAATCGTGTTTCACTGGATATTGTGGTTGCTGGTTTTATCTCACCTGACGGAGGGAGTCCTTCGCTCAGTGGTTAGAGCACTTGCCTCGCAAGCGAAAGGACCTGGGTTTGATTCCCGGGCAGGGCGAAATGTTGGGCAAGTTTGCTTACGCTACACACCCGTGTTTACCTGCCAGTAAGTAGGAACCCGGTTGTTAGTCGATTGTCAGAGATAATAATTCCTTCCCAAAAAAATAATAAATTGGTCCCTCGATCCATGACTGTTTGTGGGGACGCTGCTGTGCGCAATTGGCTGCCTCGTTTCACCCACAAAATATACAGGCAATTCATTTTACAGTATATTCTGTGAATGGCTTTGAGCCGTCAAAAAGATGTGATTATTATTATTATTAGTAGTAGTAGTAGTATTATTGACTACCAGGTTGTGTATTATTGGGTTGAGCAGGTTGGAGATTTGTGACTGAGTGTAAGGATCTTGAAATTGATCTAATTGCACAATCTCCTCTCTCTCCCCCCACCCACCCTCACCACTCCGTGACTGGGTCAAGAGATTGTCGAACCTGCTGTAGAGACATGTGACTTGTGATACCATCTGTTTGGCTTCCAGAAATGTAATCATTTCACTGGTATAATGAGGTCCACCATTACAGTGAAAGCATCTGGCAATCATATATTGGACAAGGTCCCATCTGGCCCGTCCTGACAGACATTAAAGACCCTGCAACAATATTCAGAGGAAAGAGAAGGGAGTTTCTCTCTCTCTCTCTGTGTGTGTGTCTCCTGACCGACAATCATCCCTCCAAATAATCAATCCACAACTGTTTGTGGGACGCTGCTGTGTGCACTTGGCTGCCGCGTTTCGCCCACAAAACATACAGTTAATTCACTTCACAGTATATTCTGTGAAGCGCTTTGAGGGGTCTCGAAGACGTGATAAGCGCTATATCAAATGCAAGGATTATTCTTATTAAAATTGGTCATTCACTTTATGGCTGTTTGTGTTGGCTGCCTTGTTCACCTATAACAATGCACAGTCACTACACTTTGCAGTAAAAATGCTGCAGTAAATATTTCGACGAGCTGATAGGACTCTGTATCAAACACAAATTGGCTGCCACGTTTGCCTACAAAATGACACATTCGATGTCAAATTGTACAGTTAAAAACCCTGCGAAGTGCTTGGAGATGCCTCAACTGCATGACAAGATGCTGTATTATTATTATAAAGTGTTGTGGAGGGTTTTCTGTAAAGCATCGTGACTGTGTGGGTGATTGTGTGGCCAATTTGTGCACAAGGCAACATCCCACAAATAGCCGTCAAGTGAATGATTAATTTATCTGGAGGGTTATTGGCCTGGACAACGGGAGAAAATCCCTTCCTTTTTCAAATAGAAATAGGCAGACGAGAACTCGATTTGATGTCTTATTCGAAGGTCAGCAACAACAACAACAACAACAACAACAAATTACATTTACACAGCAACTTTCACATCAGGAGGACGTCCCAAAATGCTGGACAGTCAGGGATTTGGACCCGAGCTGCTGATTTGGATCAGGAGAGGGTGGAGGGCAGGGAGGGTGGGGGTAGGAGGATTACTGAAGACGCGGTCGAAGAGGAGGGTCTTGAGACGTGCTTTGAAGGAGGCAAGGGAGAGACCGAGGCGGAGGGACTGTGGGATGGAGTTCCAAAGGGTGGGGGGCAGAACAGCTGAAGGCCCGACCGCAGATGGTGGGGCGGGCCGGGCGGGGACATGGAGCAGGCCGGAGCCCACTAAGCGGAGGGAGTGGGCAGGTCGGTACGGAGTTAGCAGGACACAGAGGTAGGGAGGAGGCTTTGAAGGTGAGGATGAGGCATCTTCAGCTATGCAGCATCCCCCCAATACAGCCCGGACTCTTGAGCTCAAAGTCCCGACTTGGGGCGTCAACCCACAACTTTCCAACTCAGAGGAGAGAGCGCTACTGACTGAGCCGGACTGACTTCTAAAAGCCTCAGTTTTGGCCACAAAATATACCATCAATTCTGTATATTCTGTGAAGCGCTTTGAGACTACTCGACGACGTGATAAGGAGCTATATCAAACACAAGGATTATTATTATTATCAATTGGAGGCAATAATCCACTAGGATAAAAATGCTTCCCGATTCGCATTGAAATTCATTGGCGTTCCCGCATTGGGTGATTGAGAACACCGTGGTTGTGTGTGGTGGTGTGTGATGGTGTATGGTGGTGTGTTTGTAATGGTGTGTGTATGGTATGTGTGAGTGGTGGTGGTGTTTGCTGTGATGGTGTGCGTGTGTGGTGGTGTGTGAGTGTGTGGTGGTGTGTGAGTGTGTGTGTGGTGGTGTGTGTATATGGTGTGTGTGTGTGGTGGTGTGTGAGTGTGTGTGTGGTGGTGTGTGTATATGGTTTGTGTTTGTGCTTGTGATGTATGGTGTTTGCGATGGTGTGTTTATGGTATGTGTGTGTGGTGGTGTGTGTATGCTGTGATGGTGTGTGTGGTGGTGTGTGATTGTGTGTGTGTGATGATGTGTGGTGGTGTGTGCTGTATTGGTGTGTGTGGTGGTGCATGTGTTTGATGGTCTGTGTGATGGGGTGTGGTGTGTGTATGGTGTGTGTGTTTGTAATGGTGTGTGTGGTGTGGTGGTGTATGTGTTCAATGGTGTGTCTGATGGTGTGTGGTATGTGTGTATGTGTGATGGTGTGTGAGTGTGATGGTGTGTGTGTGATGGTGTGTGGTGTGTGTGTTTGTG